GCTTACCGTGATTAGAATCGGTTTAATTTACAGTCACAAGGCGATTATGTTTTTAATGTGTTTAAGTAATCACCGTTATCGGTTAGTATTTCATGGCGCATGTGAAAAATTACATATGCGGATATGCCGACTCATTCACAGTGTCTAATTATTTTTAGCTGCTCCCAAAATTCAGAAGTCCGTAGGTCATACTATCTCTGTTATTGTGCGTACTCTCTGTAGTCTGCGTAGATCTCTCTCCAGATTTGTGAAGTGAAGTATTTATAAAGTGATATTATATGAAGTATTTTAGATGTTTATACGAAGTGCGGAAGTGGTACCTATATATACATATAATTATATAAGTACGTATATGCAGATGCATAATGATGCATACTGCGCCTTATACATACAATGGACGCCAAAATTGTCTTACACTTATGTAATCACAGAACTCGCTCAACCAAGCACTTTTCTGTACTCAAATAGCCAAATTTTTGACTGGCCATCGGCCTGCTGACATTTACACTTACACCTTGCGCATTTCCCAACGAAAACCGTCGACCAATATCTCAAACGAATGAGGAAAAAATTTCAAGAATTTTGATACCGAACAAAGCGTTCTTTATAAGATCTAAGAGATAATCCAGGCATCTAAAGTTTCTCGTAGACATAGCATAGGATTTGCATCCGCGGTTTGGTTTCAGTTTTCACACAGAAATCGTGCGCTTTGTCTACGATAAACTAAAATGGCTCGATTTTCTCTTAGATCTCATGAAGGATGACCCGTTTGGTATCGAAATTCTTGAAATTTTTTTGTCTTTCGTTTGAGATATCGCCTGATGGTTTTCGTTGGGAAATGCGCCAGGAACAAGTATTCGTATTCTTGCGCGTTTTCTGTTTATTGGTCATTTGGTCCTGGGCCATTTATTTTTATTGGTCATTTGGTCCCGGACCGAATGTAAGACAATTTTGGCTTCCATTGTAATTACTGATCAGAGGCAGATTTTATAACCAACTATCAAGAACAAAATATGAAGAAAAACCTAATATTTTAAGGTACTTGTACACCAAGATTCATAGAGGTTTTTCCGTGTATACTACTCGTATTTTATGGAGGTTTATCAATATTATAATAGCGTTTTTTAATAATGCGGTCGAAAGTCCCGTTACGCATTATAATTATTATACCGTACGTAGGTGCGCAAGCAAAAAACGCGCAAAATGGGTGACTGGAAAGTGCAGCGGCTGATCACCCTATTTTCCCAGTTTTTCACAATGACGATGCATGAGAGCGTATCCCTTTTTAAAAATTAAAAAAAGGAAAAAATTTTAATGTAAAACATAACAAAAATACATCAAGTATATAAAAATACACAAAGTGTATGCAACTGAGCTTTTGTCGATAAAATACAGGATTACTAGTAGGTATGTGTATAAGATAGCTGCCGACAGGTGCTTGGCATCTGAAGTCAGTCTTTGTATTTTCGTACAAAATCTGCCAAGCCACGACAATACTCGTGCGAAACGAGATAAAATTATAACTGCTAAGGCGTTATCAGTCAGCGCTGAAAGCGATTTGCATGAACCGACATGCAGACCTGTGTACCATATGCGTTTTTTTGTGAATCACTCATCCGAAACATATAAAACTGTCTTTCCATACGAAGTATAGATGTTATTAATAGGGTATGGTGATTTGAGAGAATAATGAAATGATTGAAAAAATCATACCCGTATAAAAATCAAATCCGTGTTTCTATATCAAATCCGTTTTTTGCGCTAATACGATGTACCGATTATGCTTCGACGAAATATGTTATTTTAATAAATATTAATTGCAAAGTAAATAAAGTGGCCGTTGACCACAAGAACGCGGAGGCGAAGCCGAGGCTGTTTCTTGTAATTATATAAGAACCTGTCAGTGGCTGTCACTGTTGCCGAAATGCGCATTGGCCGAAGTGAGCCCCCGCAGAATTGAACGTTGGCTGAAGTGATCATAGGCGGGCGCGGCTACCGGTAGGGCTTATGGCCCGTACATTCAAAATTTATGGATGATTGCTATGGCAGTGGCACTACTTGCAGAACGTGATGCAAATAATAATGGCAAACATGGGCGTAAAATCCGTTTTCGGGCGTGACATCCGGTTGCGGATATATGTATGAGGACGACAAATATCTTACTTACTAGTAAATGCATTCAGGTGTACCCAGTCTCATTATGCCCTGATTTCCTTCATAATTTGCACGTAAATGCAGATACCCATGAACAGCATTCTTACACCGATCCAGGCTTCCATAATTTTTTTCAAGTTTGAAAACGAATTTGAAAATTTTTGAAGTTTATTTTTAAATTTAAAAAAAGCATGCTGGACAAGGGTCTATAACTTGTGTCCAACTTTTGACAACCGCTTTAACGGGTGGCCGAACAAAATAGCCCTCTCTGCTTTTGGTTTGTTCTTCTCAAACTTCTTAACATAATGTAAACTGCTTTAGCTTATTCGATAGACAATTTCATAAGCTACCCAGTAAACGTTTTTCGAAGAATCGAGAGTTCCTCGTTAACAATGGCAGAGTTCCTCGTTAACAATGGCGCCAAGCGAAATCGTGTCAACATTTTTAGTGTTCCAGCTTGCAATTTCATAATTTTGTCTCACTTTGTTTTCGTGCGTATTATTCTCGTGCTTGTAATTTTTCTAGACCTCTCTGGATTCGTTGGAAGCGATGCCGCGGTATCAGCCGTTACTGGCGGATACCAGTCAAATCAGCTATCGTAACGTTGTTGCCATTCGCAGCTGCCACGACACGTGGTGGTTAGGATACATTCAGGATATCGTGGGCGAATACTCTTTCATTCACTTCAATTCCACACTGGTCGAGCCTCGATGGATGCACATGCAAGACGTCTGGCCACTGCCATCCTACTGAGACACTGAGCTTTGTTCCAGGGAAGATTTCCAAAATGTTCAAATCTTTGTGGCACTTCGGGATGAAGATAACGGACCGTTTCGATTCCGGCCAGCCGTTATGTTGAATAACCTTACGGGTTGTGCATTGGGGTGTTGGATGTTTTATATTAGAACGGAAATTTCCAATACGAACGCCCCTGCACGCAAGGCTTTCTATCAACTGGTTCACGAAAGTCAGGTTGCCAGTGAGTTACCATCCAATCCATCCTTGCTGGATCGCCGGAGCCGTTTGCTGTATACCAAGCATTTCATCCCTTTTAGCCAGGCCAAAGCCGTTCTAAGTGATCCATCCGATAAATATCGTATCATCAAGCATGTTCGTGATGCTCTTCGAGCTAGAATGGCATTGACAAGGGAATATTGGACAGACTGTTGCCGATTTCATTTGCGCGTCGAACAGGATGGCTGCTTGTTTGTCATCGTCAGTCTTGCAACAGACGCGAAACCCACGCAATGGATGGCTGAAATGTTATCGAACGTCCTGGAAAGGCATATGATCAGCCGTACAGATCTGCCGCCTGTATCACATCGAGTATTCTGCCCAAACGAACATATCCCTTGCAAACCGGGTTAGCAGCATACAGCAGTTGCCAGTTAGCAGCTCTTTAGGCGCTCCTGTCTTTAATTAAAATGCGCAACATGTAGTATTTATTATTTTCTATTTAAACGAACCGAAACACTACGTAGAGAAACGTTCTAAAACATAATGCATATTTTGCAAGCGACAAACCGTCACAACTTCGTTAGGTTGGACGAAAACAGTCCTAAAATTTTGCATTTGCAACAACTATTTAACAAGCATAGAAACGGTAAAAACTTCGAAAGATAGTTCCGGAGACGTTGTCAGCTGAAAGTTGTAACCAACAAATAAGCAGGGCGCTATCCACTGGAAACCGAGAAACGGCTGAAAAAGGCGCCGATGGGGGAATCGAACCCCGGCTACGTCGTTAGATCCGCGTAGGCAGTACCACTGCACCACGGCGCAATACGTTGAAATCATTTGAAATATTTTTTCGCTGTACGTGAGCCGCTTCTCCGCTCACACAACAAAACTCTATCAAATAAACTATGGTGAATTACGAGTACATGGATTTTCTAACAGTTAGTTTAATAGTTACACTCAATCTTCAACTCCCCGCAGGGAGTTGCAACTCCGTGGAGCTAATTGGCCCCGCCTTTCGGCTTGATTGGTCGCTGTACTCATCAGAGTTGCAACTTCGGTCTACGGCGTAGACCAGCTATATAGCTGGTGTAGCTTCACCGTGGACGCACCCCGACCAAACTAACTTGAATTTTCAACTTTTGATGCCATAGACAGGCACAAATTTATTTCGTGCATTTCCATAAAACGAAGTTCATTATAGCTATTCAAAAAAAGTAAAACTTTTCAAAAGTAAATTTTTTGTTTCTTTCATCCTATCGCGGATATTTGTACGTTGTCATAAGAAAACAGTTTTAAAATGTATGAAATGAAATTTTCTCAGACCAACTTAAAATTTTGCGTATCTTATTCCGTAAAAGAACAACTCCGGACGCGCAAAGCTCTGGAAATCACTCTCAATCTTCGTTTTTAACTTGAACTGGGAGACGTTTTCTTATTCGCTGCTTTAAACACTCCCCCTCTCCACGGGGTTGCCAGCCCGTGCAGGGAGTTGAAGATTGAGTGAGACTAATATGTTCTGCTTCCTTAGGTAGCGAAGTTGGTGCATTGATGCTGACTGCCTGTATCCGCGATTTGACGCCTTCGCTGTTGAACGACATCTTGTCGCATTTGGACTTGCATTCTCAAATGAAAGCCAAACGGTACGGAATATACGAGTATTCCCGCTGGCATACTGTAGCGGCGGTCACAACTTCGACCACTGTTTGGCCTGGCGGCTGTCGTTCCCTGCTGGGCATTACACACGCTGCCTTGAACACCGAGCAATTTGTGTGCAAATTTCCGCACTCTGTGGCCTAACTTGTGACTACAGCACAGTATATCTTCGAAAGACAGTAACGGTGCTGGAGAACTTTCTTTGGAAGGGTCATGATCGGTATTACGGAAGTAGCAGTTTGAACCCTATTCCGTTGTATTAGAAGTTGCACTTGCCTGCAAGCAGGCCCGCGCTGGCATCTTTTGGGTAGGGGGGGGGAGCGGCGTGGAGTTCAAAAAGCGCCGGGGGGCGGCCAAATTTTGGGAAATCCGCCGGGGGGCGGACTGTTTTTTAAAAATAATTTTAATGAAAAAAATTGAAAAAACGTAAAACCTAAAACATTGAAAAAAACGCATTATTTATTTTTGAAAAATTCGAAAAAAATCAAAAATTATTAAAAATTTAAAGCGCCCCCCTGGCGGCTCGTCTGCGCCAGATCTTGAAGTCGGCCCCCCCGGCGTCGACAAACTGAAACTGAGGGGGGCGGCCGCCCCACCGCCCCTCCAACGCGGGCCTGCCTGCAAGTCAGAAGTTCGTTCATTAGTCTGAAGGCCATCACTTGGCCGCAGAACACCGGCACAATTGTTTGCCCGTAAAATTTGTCGAAACGTGCTCACCAGAGTCAGGCGGAATTTCTACCCGTTTGCACTCCTCTTACGAGAAAAACCATCACAACCGGCTCGTAAACAGTTCTGTATTGTACATTAATGCATTCAGTGCTCAAAACAATTATCGATTTAAACTCAAACAGGCTGATGCGCTAAGCATCTTCAGAAGCGATTACGATTCCGATTAAGACATTTTCTCCAGAAAATGTCTTAATCGCTCGGGTTTTTAATCGGTTTATTAATCGGTTAATCACAACAGGTGCGCAAAAGCGATTTAAAATCAAGCGATACGAAAATTTCCCGAAGCCAAACGAAAAATTCGGCAATATGGACCCCGAAAAAGCGCCCCGGACCAGTATCCCTAGTTAGGCCGTCAGACATCGTAGATTCGTAACGGCTAGCGAAACAACCCCAAAATAATCGCTAACCGATTAAGACTTTTACCGATTAAGAAAATTCCGAAAATTTCTTAATCGCTTTTGCTTAACCGATTGCGATTAAGATTTTGTGCAACCGGAAGTGTTTCAGATTGCCCAATAGACGCTTTCGGGAGGTGCGGTCACATGAATCAGGATGAAAAAACATTACTGTAATCGGATCGGTTTCTTAATCGGTTTTTGAGCTTAGCGCATCAGCCCTAAAATGTGCGCGCTATATCCGGCTGCCGCGTTATCGCCGAAAAAAGTATAAAAACTCTGACGCGTCAAATAATTAGCATATAGAAGCTTTGAGCAACTGCTCCACTTAACCATATCTGTCCGACTCCGACTAGATTTACCATCATGGCACATCTATATCTAACGTAAATAACATTCGGAATCATTATCGTTGTGATATCATAAAAACAAAGGTGCAGCCGTGCAGGGAATTGTCGAAAATTTAAAACTTTTATCACGGTCTTTTCAGTCCAAGTAAAGGAGCGGTTAACACTCGTGACAATGGCAGCGAAAAATTTTCGATCACCACCCACTGGATGTAATGTTGGATACTTTCATTGTGAGCAGGATTTTTTAATTTCATTGTGAGCAGGATTTTTGCATGAGACTTCAAAATCAACAGCGACACCGTTTTGCTGTGCTGGAGCCATACGAAGACGTCCCTGGCATAAATGTGTAGATTCTTTTTCAAGACTGTTCACGCAGCAAGAGTGAGATAGCATGCCTTTCAGAAAACCTTTGCTTACAGCGTATGTCTCTTCTTCATCATCTTCGGGCGCTGTTGACGACTTCGAAATAGCCGGTACGAATGTACTTATACGTACGTACTCGCAGACAGGTTTGTATGTGCCGGCCTAGTGCGGTATCACCTGTGTTGCGGACAAATAAAAGTTTACTATGGTACAGAGGTTCACTATGGATATATTTGTCGTCATGGCTGTTTTCTCTAGCAAGAGGGACGCAAACGGGTAGAAAATCAGCTTAACAGCACCGGCCGGCCGGTCGCAGGTTTTCTTATACTTGTATTATGCAAAATGAATATGCTGTTTAAAGCAAGCTAGCCAGCCAGGATAATTTTACCAAAAAATACTTGCGCTTTGAAATTTTTTCATATCGGACGCGAAAAAGGCTGGCCTTGATAATGTTGCAAGTGACTTGCTAGTTGAAACTCACTGGCAGTGGCAGCTTTTAAATCGGGATGACAATGGTCACCGTCACCGAAAAACGCAAATGTTATTCGGTGTATAGTGCATTAATTTTAACACTGCTGTTTATTAAGTATTACGACATTAGTTTTAAAATAATAATGGCTTTACGCAAATGCATACATACATTGTAGCTACTTACCCGTACCTTGATTAATGAATTTTTTTTCGATCACGTCGGGCAGAGGAAAAGTGGCGCATGCATAATTACTGTCTAAATTGTGTTGCTGTAACGTGACGTCGCCTGCGGCTCCGTCTTCGGGTGATAGAACATCAGAAAATAGAACCTCCCAAAAGAAATTTTCAAATGAGCAGGGAATCAATCACCCGGTCTGTACTCTGAACAGTAATTCAAATGGCTGCAAAACAGTTCATTTTCAGTCTGAAATTTCCAGACAAACTGTTTTCAGTTAGTGTAACAATTTTTAAAAAAATTTCCTCTTTTTTCCGATGTACGTATCTGTATAGAACCTTCCAGACCTGGGCAGTCGACCCACAGTTAGAGTTACGAGTTACAGGGAGCGTGCGAGTTGCGCTAAGAATTAAGTTATTTCGGCAGGAAAACCGAGTTTCGAGTTAAACAGCGAGTTACGCTACCATAGACAATATATAGAATTTTTTATGGGAGTTAAGTTAGAGTTAAGTTTTCCTCTGAGCGAGTTACGCTAAAGAGTTAAGTTATACTCGTACATAACTCTATAACGCGAAAACAACTCGCGTTAAGTTACTAGTAAATAGTTAAAATTAACTGCCAAGGTCTGGAACCAGCCTTCGCTACGCCCCGATCGATTATTTTTACCACTAATAAATAATTAACTACAGTATTAAATTTAGCCAAGTATTATTAGTCCCGGTCTCCGATTGCCGGACGGGGTTTGTATTTCGCGCGACGGGCTTATAAGTCGGAAAGAGTCTCGAATTTGGAAAAATATGGTATTCGGCTCCTTTTCAAACCTTTCCGTTTTCACACCCATATTTTACTAGAAAAATAGTACTAGAAAAATGCACGTTGGCGTGCATCGGCAGACCGGAGCGAAACCCAAAAAGGGGTTTTAGTGGTACGAGTAATGATTTACTTGTTTTTATGTTAAGTTCTGTTAACAGACATATGAAGATCAGCGAAATTTCTGTTAAAAACCAGGTAAAACTAATAGTTCGAAGCGTTTCATGGGCTACTACACGTGTGCTTAGAAAATTACGCCGGTGATTGACGACTGGAAACGTCTAAATCAGAAAATAAGACTTAGTGCTGTAATTCTCGTACAGAACAAGACCGCACCGCACGATGTAGTACCTGATCAAATGTTTTTGCAATACGATTTTTGCTCGTACTCGTTAAACAACGCATATAAAAATATTTTGGAAGTACTTCGCAATGTGAGCAACCAGAAAACATAAATTCGAAAAACTGTTTTAAAAAATACATATGCGCTGCGCTCTAGTCTTCCAATGCACCCATCGGTGCATTTTCCTTGTTAAGCTAAGTTTTTCTAACAGACATTTGTTGAATATCAGCGCAGTTGCTATGAAGAACCATGTAAAACTAATAGTTTGAGGCGGTTTTTTTCTTTCTCCGCAATAAGTCATTTTTAGCTGTGTGTGTCTCCCACTTCGAAAAAAGATTGGACTATGTGCTCAGTTTCGCCCAAGCTCCGACTCGTCCGTTCTCAGGCCGGTGTGAAACTCATAATCCAACGAACTAACTATCTGTAATAATTTCCGAAAGAGAGCGAACAAGGAAAGCATTTTGTTTTTCTCGATACCGTATTTTTACAAATTAAGGAGCAATGGTTTTTAAAACAGATAAATCGAAGTAGGGCTTATTTCGCGGACTAACGGTAATAATGGTTGGGATGAGCCCCATAACGGAAATCTAAAAGAATAAGTAGTTACAAGTTACAACCTAATTACAAGTCACCACTTTAATTGGTCACCCGAGGGTACGCTGCATTTCATTTAAATTTGTGCAGTTGCTTCCTTATGCTTTGGATTTGAACTTGTATGTGAGCCGCTTATTCAGGCATTAATTACATGCGGTAATATTCTGGGTGACCTTTTCAAGGCAACCCTATCGGCCGTTAAAGGAAAAATGAGGCCCTTAAAGTCAAGAAATCAGGCTTTGAAGATTACAACGTTAAGACAAAAAGTCGATGTACTTGACGTTAAGTACATCGACTTTTAACGTTTCAAACGCCGATAACCGAAATTGGGCAACTACATGTAAACATACAATCTGACTAAATGAGGAGGCTACGGTCTATGTTAAAAAGCCAGCGAACAGCCTTTTTTGCCCGCTGAGGCTGGTTGATCAATGCAGCCTCTCTGTTGTGACTATAAATAGACTGAAGACAGCGCATTCCGGTGCTGCCAAAAAGCGCAAGCGGAGTGCTGCCTTGCTGTATCGATCGATCGCGCACATGTGTGTGAGTGGGTAAATCCGCTCGCATTCACTTACACACGTATGAGTGTGGCTGTCTGTGCGCGTACTAGCTGTACAAACCGGTTTTCGCTGTCTTCGCTACAACGCATACCCTAAACCCGTAGCTTCCTTTCTTGCTCGCATTGTATGTGTTGTACACACTACAGTACAAAGTGCCACGGCTATACGCACGGCAATAGACACCCTCAACGGTAGCAACTCAACCGGGAAGATTTTCCCGCCATTTTTTTTTATTTTGACCCGGCTACTGTTTGCACAATTGTTGTTGCGTGTCGCTCGTTAATTGCGTTATTGTGCAAAGTGTCTGTTTTTTCGTAGGGTTTGCGCCTTATGGCAGTTGCTGCTGAGCAGCTCTAGCATTATGAAGCACATCAGTATCTCGTTGGACAGCTGTTTTCATCTAAAAGCAGACGGCGATAACTGCTTCAAAGCGGCATCTCTACTCAGCCGCTCAATTAACACAACGACAGTCAGTCTCACTTTGTTGTCTGTCCCTCCTCCAGACAGCTATTATTTTTTGCATCGGTTGTTAGATGTCATGGAAATTAAATTACCCATACTTGTACTGAAAGACCACACTAACCTCAAACCAATAGGATGTTATCGAGAAAAACAGTCGCGTTTGAAGCATGGAGTGACGAGTGATATAACGCTCCATAAGCACATTTGCACCTTTATCTTGCTACAAAACTGGAAAGTTGCCAACCTGTTCGGTCGACAAATGTATGAAGTCTTTGAGGAATCTTTCTACTATGAGCCACATTCCGGCGTTACTACTCGTCCCTTGCCAGCGCACGAGCGTAACTGCATGCTGCGCCTGTCACACGAGTCGCAGGAGCTGGCCATTGACCAGCTGCAAATCACCATTCCGAAGCTGCTTCTGCCCTGCAGCGAAAGCAAGATGCACATGACCAGTCGCTTAATGTGCGCCTTGAACGATAACTTCCCACCGGTCACGGAAGAAATGCTAGCAAAGGTCGTGGCTGTCCGTGCGCGCTGGTTGCGAACACTCTCCTATCCCGATGACTGGCAGAGCATTCGCAACTACCTTCTATTGTAAGTACGACGAAGAAAGCGTCTTTCAAGCGTTTGACTTACCAGGGCCCGGTCACCGGCTCGCCCCTCAGCAAAATTTCGTTTTTTGTTTGAAGACAGATTTGGTACTGGTAATAATAAAAAAATTAATTTCACCGGCAATGGTCCAGTGGGCGTGGCCAAAAACAATTTAAGTATTTAATACAACCGTATGTATTGTATTGTCAGTACAATGTTCCCATTCATATTCCCATACTTCTGGTTATACTACTGAGAAATTATGTTCCAAGGCGCGGCTGCTGTATTACATGTTATCACTGCAAACTTACCCGTTAACTGATCTTCAATTTTTAATGAATGTTTTAGCTATATAAAATTTTCAGAGATTTCGCCCGTATTGGATTTGAAACGATTGCACTTTCTGTATTTTTCTGTGTGCTGCACCGTGCAGGCGCAGGTGGATTTTTACAGCTCAATAAGTATGTGCACGGATTTCATAGAAATTTTGCATTCTCTAGCCAGTTTTTTCGCCCAAGCGATTTTGCCGCTCAGACCACGAGCACGGTGAAAGGAGTGCGATTCTGAGCGATACGTTTATGTGAGCGAGGATCGACGACGGAAACACAAGATCGAATAAAATCGTATTTTATTAGATCGTAAACAAAACATCAATCATCGTGAGAAAAAACATCAGCGAAAGAAAACAGAAAAACACAGAAGTGAAAATCTAGGATCTTTCACTGAGGCCAAATCCGTCGTAATGAATCGGTGGAATCCGATGAATGGAGATCGGCTGCACAAGAGCGGCTCGGCAGCTCCATCAGGCGGTCCAACCGTACGACCGACGTGAGCTCAGAGCCGACCGCTCTGGCAACGGTATAACTTCTCGTTAAACAAAAAATGAGATTTTTCTAAGGGGGAGCCGGTGACCGGACCCTGGTTAGAGATCATTTTGTTTATTTATACTCGTATGGCAGTTTGTACGTATATTTCGGGCTGTGGCAGTCTCCGCTGTTTGACATGTTGCTGTAGTCTCCATTTGATTATTGTAATGTGTAAGGCCATGATAATCATACCACGGTGTAAAGGGTAGAACCTGGTGCTGAGTGAAGCTGAAGTTAGGCGTATAAAAATTGAGTACTTACTTTTCGGCATGTTTTCGTCAAAGGCATCAAGTTGTAATTGAGAGCACAAACGTGTGGCACGACCTACAGCCTCGACCGCTTGGAATATTTCAAAACGGATTGCACATTTTCTTACTAGTTTTTTATGCTCTCCATGCTCGTTATCGATTTGATATGAAATTATGATTTCTGCACAAGTCGAATTATGATTATGAGTGAGCCTTATATAAGTCGGAGTGAGTGCGGTTGTAGGGCGCAGACAAACTGTCGCTAGCGCGCTGCCTGCCTGGGCTCTATGTAAGTATACATGCCCGATTCAAACCACATTTCTACTACTTTACTCGACTCGGATGTTTTCTGGAATTTCAAAAAGCAAATTGCAGATTCAAAACCAGCGTAAAATATTGCTATGACTTTCTGTCTGTAAAAGTTGTGCATAGCCTTTATGGATCGTCCGTAAATCACTGCCACACGTTTACAACTTGATGGCCGTTTTGCCCACTGTATTTCTTTTGTCTTTCGAGAAATGTTAACGAGGTATGACGCAAAATAAGTACTGAATTTTTCGCCAGTTTCACTCAGCACCCTTTACCCCGTGATAGCACTATGCACTGTAGTAGTCCTGCTTACATAAGTTATATCGAAGCAATTAAGTATGTACCAGTACAATACTTACTTACTGAACGTAGGTTACACTTTACAGCAAAAAGCCTACAGTAATCTTATATTTTGTAATTTAGCGCCTGCTTATTCGGAATTTATATAATACTTGCAAGTAAGTACAGTATTTTATGGTGGTCACTGGTCAGCAGTCCCGTTAATCTCGCGTCATTCTCTCATATTCCAAAGACAAGCGCCAGGCCTCGTATACCCTCGGCACGCCTGACGGTAGTACCGGAGCTGAATTAGCTACGGTACCAGCTTCCGCTCTCTCAGTGTTAGAACTTAGCAGCAGTCGTTGCAGCGTGCCTTACGTAAGTTACGTAGACGTAGGGAGTTCGAACATCTGAACTACTTCGTATATGGTAAACATGAGGTCTCCCACCAGGACTACGCGTAACGGTTCCTGTGGCTGCAAGTGCAGTTGATACTTGATAGGTAGCTTCAAACTTACAAAGTACAAACTACAATGACACATCATGTAGCGAACGAACGAGGTAGCGAACATCATGTAGCGAACGTAGTACTTATTTCTTTTGCTGTTGGAAACCTAGCCGAGGGTTGCTTTCTGATTGGTTTGAAAGGGCGTCTACTGTCTAAATCTTGTTGTGCAGATTCAGCGGATTTCACTCTGACGGAAGACCAAAAGTGTGGGAGGAGGTGGATCTGCGGTGCGTTGATATATCCACATGGAGCAAAGTGGCAATCTACGGAATCAGTGAGGTCTTCCGAGTGTGAAGCGATTGAAATGCACCCATGGTGGTCTCGTTCTGTTAGGCTATACTGATGGTGAGCATTATTGCCCAAGATCATATCAGCTTCAAGAGAAAAAATCGCGGATAACGGGAGCGAAATCGTAAAGTGCAACGTCTATTCAATGACACGAGCGCAAATTATTTTCGATAGGGTCACTTGTTCAACTATTCTCGTCATTCGTTATGAGTTACACCTCCTAACTTCTGAACTTCATAAATGGGAACGCCTTTTATGTTCAGCGGTTCTGCTACAGCCCGCGCTTAAGCTCGGACTTCAAAACTTGGATTGCTTCGCTTGACGACTGACGTTGTTGACCTGGAGGGCTGGACTTCTTCGATTTCTCAAGTTTCTTATGTTAAGTTTTTCCAAGGATACTTATGTTATTTTATGGTTTCTGTGTTTTTTTAAATCATCCGTTTTCTCCCCTTATTCTTATATTATTGTTTTGTTACTCTCATGTTATTTCTATGTTACTGTAGCCACACGCGCAAGTTGCACCGCCCCGCATGTTATTTAGATGCATTGTGGTTCTATGTTATGCTATGTTGTTCTGGCCCCGGGAGCCCGAGAGCCCTCCTTTAAGGGGGACTAATTTATAACAATTACATAAAAGTCCGTTACTTTCAACTAAATCGCTAATTGTACGATCATAGTTACGCCATAAGTGAAAGTGCTATCAGATAGCATATTTTTTCCTTTATCGCATCCAATACATCAAAATTTAAACTGGTGCATTTTAAACTTTAAAATTAAAAAAGTTAAAGAACACATACACTTTAATATACTTGTTTTACAACAGTACCTGATCATGCCAAAAATGACCTCAACTGGTATAGCATACTATGCTCCAAAATGGCAAGAAGCGATTTTCGGCGACCACGAGCAGATGATTTTAAACTGAAATTTAAAGTGCTCGTAGGTACCAGTTTCATCACTTTGTGAAGCGTTTTTGTGAAAAAGGGTTGTGTATCCTTTAAAAATAAAAGAAAGTAACTTGGGGTGTTCAAAAGCTTGTTCTTTTTTCAAGAAAGGTTGAATTTGTTGGAAAAAACACTCCACAGAACTTTAGTCATTTTAGGGGAACGCATCGCTGCGCTTTAAGGAAAAATTTCAAAAATCTGCTTGAATTGTTATTGCTTCCGCAAAATAACGGCTTTGGATTAGTAACTTTCGCATGTTAAAATAGTCGCTTTCAGGCTTTCATTATATGTACTTCGTAGTGAAAATATCATAGTGTTAGGTCAGATGTGTACTGTAGTGGCTCGCACATCTTGTACCACAGAGTTGGTGTACGGGAAAAATGTGCATCCAATATACACACTCTAACCGGGCAAAATGCACGCCTACGAAATAATGCTTGATTTGACTCGATTATTATTATTATTATTCATCGTGGAGCAGGTAGCCCATTTCCGGGTAGGGTGACATTCTAGCTGGGATTTTAAACCTGGCCAAATAGCAAAATCGAAAAGTACGAGTGCAGATAGACAGAAAAGACGTCCTAAACAAAATTGACACGGTTCAAAGCTTGCTTAAAGGCACCAACTGTATGAATATGGAACAGATCAGAAAAATTAGAATCAACAAAAATGTCCACAATTTATTAAGTTTCCAAGCAAAGGTCGTCTCGCCAACTTTCTTCTTCGCTACCGCCTTGATCAGGATGCGGTTTCTACTCCGAAGGTTGTACGGCTTTATACGGTCATCAAATTCCACCATCTCAGAGATGTACTGCGGCACATGGAATTTTTCCGGATGTTTGATCTTGTATAACCATATCGCTTCCTTTTGTTTCCATCTCGTGAAGAGCGGTAAGATCCCATGTTGGTTCATGAACGATTCCGTGGGTATCTTTGCGTAGTTTGCAGCCGCTCGGACACCGTTACGATGCATCGCGGCCAATTTATCACGCAAGCGCACAGATGCCCCGCTCCACACTGTAGAGCAGTAGTCCAGATGCGACTGAACAAAGGCATAGAAAAGCGCAATGCGTTGGGATGTTGGCAGGCCGACTTTAACACGATTTAACAGTGATATACCGTACCGAACATTCTTCTGGACCTTTTTAACATGGTCAGCCCAACTGAGATTTTCATCCAGTATCACTCCAAGATGTTTCACTGACTTTTCTGGAAGTAATTTATGACCGTTCAGCATTACGCTTACGTTGGTTTCGCGATTATGCGCTGAACTTATTAGTAACAAATTCGATTTTTTCTCGTTGACGAACAACCGGTTGGAATTAAGCCACTCACAGACTGCCGGTAGTGCTTCAGTTAGATCTTTGCTGCGTCCGCTTTCGTGTTAGCAACAGCATAGCAGATGGTGTCGTCAGCAAAGCTTTCTAAATGCACGTTTGGTAGCCTCAGTTTCAGTAGGGCATTAATGTAAATTGTAAATAAAATGGGACCAAGTATAGACCCTTGCGGAACGCCTGCCCAAACATGTTCCCACGAAGAGAACTTCATGCCATGACGTACACGTTGCGAGCGGCCGGTCAGATACGAGTAAAACCATTTTAACGCTGAAGACTTTACTCCTATATCACGGAGTGTCTCCAACAGAGTCAAATGGCACACTGACGGAAAAGCTCTTTTCAAATCAAGAAAAACAACTGCAACACACTTCTTGCTATCGACAGCCTTTTTCCATGTCTCCGTCACTTTTAACAATAACGTTTCACATGAATGGCCGTTACTTCAAGATGAACTCTCCTTCTGAATCTGTCCAGAATCAAACATTTTCTTTAAAATTGTAATTCACCTTAGAAAAGAAGCTCTGTATCTGAGAACTCGAATTGTTCTGTAGCTGTAGAATGTTGACGCTGATTGCTGAACGTACCCCTCACTCTGCAGGGGCACCCCAAAAACCACAACAAATCAGTGTTTGAATTCGAGCTGACAGCAAAGATTTAAGTTAATGGCTGCTTTTGAGCATAAATTTAATTAATAATTATTAGAGCCCTAATTTTTTTAATATTCAAGAAGGTTCTCCAGACCAGAAGTTGAGAAACATCAGAAATTTATCAATGCACGCCAACTGGGAATCGTGCGTTTTGCCCGGTTAGAGTGTGTATATTGGATGCACATTTTTCCCGTACACCAACTCTGTGGTACAAGATGTGCGAGCCACTACAGTAGTTATCTGTATGATCGATCGATGCAGCTCAAGCGCACGCATTGCGCCAGCGAGAACAGTCAAAAGAGGTCGAAATCAGTATACATAATCTCATGCTAATATATTAGGTTTTTTCTCCGTTACTTCTTCGTTTTCTTGAGTGACACAACCGTTTAGTTTTTTGTACATTGTAACAGGCAAGCGCGAGGAGATCACGAGTGTGCTTTATTGTACAAATAAAGGGAACAATGCTGCGTAATAGCAGGGAAAGCAAAACAAAGCACTGATGGCTAAGCAAGCAAGTGAATGCTAAAAAGCTCTTGAGCGTTCGCCAAGGCGTCAAAAAGCCCCTGGCGGCAAGCACGTGGTGTGTGCCATCAGCTGTGTGATGATGCGCAGACTGGACTCGATCCAACGCGAGCGTATGAACGCTGAGTCATACTGCGAGAGAGGGACGAAAGAGCAAGTATGCTCAGTGTGTGCGCCGCGTATATCCGCTTCAGCGGATGTGAGTGCAGTGCAGCAGCACACGTACGTACAGCGAGAGAGGCGATATGGCAAGCATGAGTGCAAGTACGTCCATGGTGGGCCGTATGCACCAGGCGCAGTCATGTGCCTCTGACATGCCTCTGGGCGGGAATCCGAGCTCCTGCGAAGGATGCTCCGACTCGGTACCGCACCAGTACCGCACAACTCTCCAGCCGGACCCAATGTGGGGTCGCTGGTACGCGTCCTCTAGCAGTGGGAGTCCGGTGTCTGGTTGACCGTCCCTTCTTCACTTCCAGACCCATGAGTGGAAGCCACTCACGGCCGAGAAATCCGGAAGCCGCTCGGGCGTTTCGTTGGACCGGTGATGCTTCTGTTGGCTGGCTTCTTGCTTCTGTTGGCAACGGAGAACAATGTGAAAGAAAATGTAATGAAAGTTTATGCAGCGCGAAAGAAAGTATGAAATAAAGTTTAATCACAATTCCAGTGAGCAAAAAGGGGTTACAAAAACAGATCTGTTAAAGAGATCGAACTAGAAAAATACAATTCCGTTTGTTAGGGGAAATACTAAAAAAATACAAAAGTCTGTCCGGGGGTCCTATTCCGACTAGGATGACGTCCACGGGGCAGTTAAGTCTCCACGGGGTCTCCTGTCCACTTTCATCCGGTAAGTTGGGTCCGGGGCATCGGTTCCCGGGTTACCCGTCGTAAGTTACATTCACCGAGGTCGGATAAGCACGGTTAAACACTTACTTCCGTCTCGTATCCGTCCGTTCGGGATAGAGAGGCACTGTTGCAGGTGCAAATGCCGAGGCATCCTCTCTGAATGGGAATAGAACCAAGGTCGGTTTGACCAAGGTCGGCCTACCGGTAAGTCGACCGGCGGCTAGGGGGAATTCGGCTATGTTCCGAATTCTTAAAGTCCAAGTCGGAAAAAGCTGTATGTGAGTCATGCGGCCTGTGTGGTCGTCATGTACAGCAGTTCCGTTCAAAAAGTGGTCGGTTACAACCGTTCAATCTGCTACCACGAGCCCAGTTTAGAATAATCCGAGTCGAACTGGCTCGAAGGTCCGGTCGGAATTCGTGAGTTGCATCGGTGGAAGTGTCCAGTCGACTTCCGTCCAATATGTGCCGTGGTTACCCGACCTTTTGTCGAGGTCGGTCATCCTATCCGTCGGCGGTCGACTAGGGTTAACCTGCAATAACATGCCCATGTGGGGCTAAACAAGTTCTTTCCAGTCGAATTCGTCCACTGCAGACAGTTGTCGTTCTTCTTCCGTCTTATTGACCAAGTTGCCGACTTCCGACATGTGGTCAGTTGTGGTCGACTTCGGAAGGTCGGATTTTTCCGTTAGAAGGTCGGTTCTCGACTTCTAAATGCCTTTGCCGACTTGTTGTCATATCCTTCCGACTTCTGTGCGGTAACTTCCGACCTCGACTTGAGGTCGGATATCCATGTCCAAGTTCGGAGGTCGGCTATT